GCGCCACGGCGCGCGAAACAGCTGATTTGTGCGCCGCTACTCGCCCTCCCTCTCAGGCTCTCAAGCCTGGGAGGGAGGGGGAGCAGCGGCGCGCGAATCAGCTGTTTTGCGCGCAGCGGCCGCTCGGGGTCTCCCCCCCCTCCCAGGTTTGAGACCCTGGGAGGGAGGGGGAGACTCCGAGTGGCCGCGGCGCGGGCGCCGCTTCTCCCCCTCCCTCCCAGGCTTGAGAGCCTAGGGGGAAGGAGGTAGGACTGGGGATTTGGGGAAGGGGCGGAGTTGAGGCAGGGCCGGGGGTAATTAAAAATGGGGGGGGGGCAGCCAAAATTGTTTTTGCTTGGGGCGGCAAAAATCCTAGAGCCGGCCCTGCAGCCCTGGCAAGCCGGGAAACAAATTAAGCCCTGGATGGGGAGGTGGGTAGGGAAGCAGTGGGAGACAGATGCAATGGGGTGGGTGGGTGAGGGGCCAGGGGAGACAGTGGGGGCCACGGACGAGGGGTGTTGGTGAACTTGGGGCCAGAGCTCTGCAGCCACGTGGCTGAAGCCTGGGGTCAGAGGACACAGCAGGGACTAAGAGCGATGGGGGGGTGGTAAGCCTAGGGCCAGCACCCACTGCCACGTGACTGGGGCCCAGGGCCAGAGCCCATGGTCCTGCATCCAGACTCTGAAACCCTGCAGCCAGGGAATGGAGCCCACCACCTGCCACCCCAAGGCTGAAGCCAGAAGCCTGAGCCCCACCGCCCTTGGGAAGGTAGGGAACTCACAATAGCTGCCTGCTTCTCTAGTGTTTATGGCTCCAAAGGGGGGGCAGAGCCCAACTCCTGCTGATGGTCCTGGGGAGGGGCCACTGCTTTGTGCTCTCTCCACCCCCCCCCCCCCATTCACCGTCCAGGAGGCTGTGACCACATAAAAAGCCCCTGGTGGCCACATTTGAGAAACACTGGTCTAGATCAGCAAGGTGGTTGCTGAGTTACATAAACGACTTCTTACTGCTGCTCCTTGTCTGAGCAAAGGAGTACTCCCAACACATACACTGATTCATGTGTTTTCTTATCTCCATGTGTGGGGAAAGATGTTGGTTGCCCCCTTGATGCCTACCAGCCAGAAAAAGCTATGGGGCTGCCCTTTTATTGTTTATTTAGTATAACAAACAAGCCAGAAAGAGAAAATTAATACTTCCGTTTAAACAAACAAAAAAACATAGCAAAACTCAGATACTAGTAGCCAGGAGAGGCATACTAATGAATCAGCTGGGTCTCTCTCACCAAATCAGTTCCCTGCCCCTGCAGAGGCCCCAGGAACTGGTGCTTTTTGGTCCCTTCTGTTCGCTGACTGTGACACACAATAGTTAAGTCTTCTGAAAGCTGTAATACTTTAGTCTAGTCCAGGTTATTGATTTTAATACAGGGGTAACTGGGTGGGGTTTAGTGGCCTGGGATACACAGGAGGTCAGACTGGATAATCTGGTGGTCCCTTCTAGCCTTAAAAACGTTATGACTGCTTACCCCTAATAAGACCCACATTTTTTGCTCAGGATGTGAGACATGAATTGCCTTTCCCAGCTGCTGGCATTTTATGGGCCTCACCTCTACCTCCTTTTGGCTTCAGCTAATCAGCCCCTATTGGCTAATCTATGTTTTGTTTATTAAAAAACACTCCTAAGAGATGTCACTTATCTTCTCCACTTCTCCGGCCATTCCCACTTACTGCCTGTCTCAGCTGACATTGCACAGTCCTCAAGCCTTGGCTGCAGTACCTCAATCTTCCACAACAGAAATAATAGTCATCTCACTGTGCCAACAATTTCTTTTTTTTTTTTTTTTTTAAATATCCATGCAGCTCCATAAGTAAACAAGCCTAGTTCAGGTAGAACCATTTCCAGCTGGGCTGACTACTTCTGTTCCAACATACTCTCAAAGGGGGGAAAAGAGATTTAACAAAATTTAATAACGTAAGTGTTGACAGAACCTTAAATGCAGCAGATCTAACTATGAGTAAATTAGTATATAACAAGGTAGTCCAGGGTTAAAAAATATTCTAGTCTCAAAACCACCATAGCATACGGTAATAATAATACTTTACTCTGTAATGCTATCCCTGCTTTTTGTAAAGAGCCACTCCATGAAACAAAAACATCTACTCACAGGACTGCAGGCTGGGAAGTTACTGCTTTATTTAACTGCATCACAAGAGAGGCAGAAGGGCACAAATTCCCACTCACTACATATGACATAAGAGAGGGGTAGAGCATAGCTCCATCCCATAATACCCAAGGGAAGCCAGTTAACTATGCTAACCGCTTTACTCCCAGAATTTTAAATCACTTTGCAGACATTAATAAATTAAACTTCCCAACACCCTTATGAAGAGGCTACTGAACTCCCCAGTGTAATGCATTGGCTTTCCTACCGGCACTGTAACTCAAACAACCTAAGGCCTCATCACTGTACCACAGAATAGGCCCAATTCCTCCTCTGGCAGCCAGCACTCCCTATAGTGACCTCTTAAGCATATTCAGTGTAGGGGTTTGCACCAGTTGAGCTAATCAAGGTTTGCACCTGCTTCATGCTCAATCAGCACAGGCTCCAGTTTGTTTTCATCTGCACTAATGAGTCAGCACCACTGCACTACACCAAATGCTTGCCATAGACAAGGAACTGGGGTCAGGGCCGGCTCCAGGCACCAGCTTAACAAGCAGGTGCTTGGGGCGGCCAAGGGAGAGGGGCGGCACCTGCGGCAGTTCGGGGGCGGCAGGTCCCTCACTCCCTCTAGGAGCGAAGGACCTGCGGCTGGGCTGGCGCGGCCGGTGGCGGCGTTTTTTTTTTTTTTTTTGCTTGGGGCGGCAGAAATGCTGGAGCCGGCCCTGACTGGGGTTAGTCAAAAGGGATAGCTCAGTGGTTTGAGCATTAGCCTGCTAAACTCAGGGTTGTTGAGCTCAATCCTTGAGGGGGTCACTTAGGGATCTGGGGCAAAATCAGTAATTGGTCCTGCTAGTGAAGGCAGGGGGCTAGACTTGATGACCTTTCAGGGTCCCTTCCAGCTCTATGAGATAGAAATAAAACAAAAAGTGTGGACAAGATTTTAGGCTGATTAACTCAGCGTGCTGGAGTACTTCGAGGAAAGTCAATGTATTAGAATGGGGATTCCAATCCTCTGCTTCCTCACAGCAACTCCTTTCAGCACAAGAGGAAGTGATTTGCCTAGCTTCACACAGAGGACTTGATTCCCCTTTCACTTGGTGTAATCATCTACCTGGCAGCAGCAGGAGAGCAAAACACTACCACAGTCGAATTCTCCAGTCACTTAAACCAACAGCAGCATTTTATGCCCAACTTTGCTCTCCTAGAAATGCCACATCCCACAGTATTCTTGCCACCAAGTTAAAGAAGTATGGGCTGGATGAATGGACTGTAAGGTGGATAGAAAGCTGGCTAGATCATTGGGCTCAACGGGTAGTGATCAATGGCTCCATGTCTAGTTGGCAGCCGGTTTCAAGCGGGATGCCCCAAGGGTCGGTCCTGGGGCCAGTTTTGTTTAATATCTTTATTAATGATCTGGAGGATGGTGTGGACTGCACTCTCAGCAAGTTTGCAGATGACACTAAACTGGGAGGTGTGGTAGATACGCTGGAGGGTAGGGATCAGATACAGAGGGACCTAGACAAATTAGAGGATTGGGCCAAAAAAAACCTGATGAGGTTCAATAAGGACAAGTGAAGAGTCCTGCACTTAGGACGGAAGAATCCTATGCACTGCTACAGACTAGGGACCGAATGGCTAGGTAGCAGTTCTGCAGAAAAGGACCTAGGGGTCACAGTGGACGAGAAGCTGGATATGAGTCAACAGTGTGCTCTTGTTGCCAAGAAGGCTAACGGCATTTTGGGCTGTATAAGTAGGGGCATTGCCAGCAGATCGAGGAACGTGATCATTCCCCTTTATTCGACATTGGTGAGGCCTCATGTGGAATACTGTGTCCAGTTTTGGGCCCCACACTACAAGAAGGATGTGGAAAAATTGGAAAGAGTCCAGAGGAGGGCAACAAAAATGATTAGGGGTCTGAAGCACATGACTTATGAGGAGAGGCTGAGGGAACTGGGATTGTTTAGTCTCCAGAAGAGAAGAATGAGGGGGGATTTGATAGCTGCTTTCAACTACCTGAGGGAGGGTTCCAAAGAGGATGGAGCTCGGCTGTTCTCAGTGGTGGCAGATGACAGAACAAGGAGCAATGGTCTCAAGTTGCAGTGGGGGAGGTCTAGGTTGGATATTAGGAAACACTATTTCACTAGGAGGGTGGTGAAGCACTGGAATGCTTTACCTAGGGAGGTGGTGGAATCTCCTTCCTTGGAGGTTTTTAAGGCCCGGCTTGACAAAGCCCTGGCTGGGATGATTTAGTTGGGAATTGGTCCTGCTTTGAGCAGGGGTTGGACTAGATGACCTCCTGAGGTCCCTTCCAACCCTGATATTCTATGATTCTATGACCATAGAAGGTGTGAAGTAGTGAAGAATCAGGGCCAGGAAAATTGAGACAGAGCCAGGAATATGATCTGGGTTTCTGACTCTAACCAAAGACCATCCTTCCTGGCCAAAGCAAGAAGATGAAAAGAAAATATACACATAGAGGTGGTATGGACATCAGCATAATTAGGCCACTATGATAGACAAGGAAGAAGGCACTAAAGAGCACAAACCACTATCTGCTGGGGCTTTCAGTAATGCAGAGATCCAGCTGACCCACATGGCAGGGTTGGTGGGGAAATCCTGAAGCTGGCTCTATATGCAAACAAGTTTTGGGGCAGTGGTGAACTTCCTTCACCTTTGGAATTATGGAGAGCTGGCCCTATAAACATTCACAGACACCAGCTTCCCAAGTGTGCTCTAATAAAGAGCAGTCCATGTTAATCCATTGCTGGAGGAAGGACAATTCTGCAGAAGTTTTAGCAGTCTGATTAGGAGACACTGAATAGGCTTCAAAAGCACAGTTTAGGAGCAGTGTTATTAGCCTCACCTGTAAACAAATTTCTTTTTGATGCTCCAGCTGGTGTTTGAGTTGCAGTACCTGGTCCTGCAATTTCAGTCGCTGGGAAAATTCCTCTTCATACCTAAAGTAGTCAGGGATAAAGAGAAAACTCTATCACTGTTGTTCTTTCACACGGTATCAGTCCAAATCAAAGTGACTGCGGGGCGGGAGGGGTGACCCACAGGAGGATGAAGAGCCAGACACATTCCTCTGCCTCCCCTGTTCAGAGGTTATAGACAGCTGGTGTGATCCGTGGGGCTGACTATGGCTTGCACAGCCTTAACTTGTGTCCTGTTACAAAGGCCACATGGAACATTGCTAGGGGACACAATCACCAGGACAAGCTTGCACCCTAGCCCTACTCCTTCTAGCCTGCCTCCATCGAGAACATCACCTGCCCTGGGAGAAGCAAAAGTCTATTCTGGAGAGGCATGAAGACCAGCACTGCACCTGACATGCAGGCCCTTTGTGCCGAAGTTATTTGCTGGGGGCAGAGATTATGCCTGTCCTACCTGCCTTTTCCCCAGCCTGGCTAATACAAAGGAGCCCTAGTGCAACTACTGGTGGTATCCTGACTCTGTTGAAATCAACAGGATCTTTTTCACTGTCTTTAGTGGCATCAGGGCTTTTCCCAATGAGTCTGGCCTGAAGTGCCTGGACTATAAACGGATCTCACAGCTTTTAGTGATTACTTTGCTTTGGAAAAGAGTAGTAGTTTTACGATAAATGGAGAAGTATAAATAGCATAAATGTTAGGAAAAAAGCTGCTTATTGAAAAAAGGGACAATTACTTTGCAATTTGGCTGCAGCTTCTTCAATATGAAGAGAGAGAGAGAGAGAGAGAGAGCGCACAACCAGTAGTTGCAAGTAAGCCACTGTCTTTGGGATCCCTTCTTTGTTTTATAATAAGCATGTGAAAAGTGCTTGCTTTGGTAATGAGGTAGTCAGGGCATTCTTAAATTACTGGTTTATTCTCCCTGAATAGTTTTAAGTATTTTCCTGATTCATATTTTCCTTTTCTTTCTGCTGTTAGCAATGGTGGGATTTATTTATTGGGGCAAACAGCCCTAGTGTAGACGAGGCTTTCTACTTCCGGGCCAAGCAATGGTTAATGAGACTACTTTTATTTGCAGAATTGGGGGCCCATGTTAGGAACCAATTTAGACTGAATCATGTTGTAAGGATGAGTCTAGAACAGTGGTTTTCAAACTCTTTTTCTGGGGACCCAGTTGAAGAAAATTGTTGATGCCCGCAACCCAACGGAGCTGGGGATGAGGGGTTTGGGGTGTGGGAGGGGATCAGGGCTGGGGCAGAGGTTTGGGGTACGGGGGTGGGGGCTGCGGGGTGGGGTCGGGAATGAGGGGTTCAGGGTGTGGGAGGGGGCTCTGGGCTGGGGCAGGGGGTTAGGGTGGGGAGGGGGTCAGGGCTCTGGGCTGGGGGTGCAGGCTCTGGGGTGGGGCTGGAGATGTGGGGTGCAGGAAGAAGTTCCAGGTTGGGGGGGCTCAAGGCTGGGGCAGGGGATTGGGGCATGGACTTACCTCCGGCTGTTCCCAGTCAACGGCGCAGCCGGGGTACACCGCGGATCGCACTGTGCCCTGGAAACGACCAGCAGCAGGTCCGGCTCCTAGGCGGAGGCGCAAGACTCATACCTCCAGGCACCGTCCCCCCAGACACCGGCCATTGGGAGTGCGGAGCCAGTTCTCGGGACGGGGGCAGCACGTGGAGTCCCATGGCCCCCCTGCCTAGAAGCCGGACTCACTGCTGGCCACTTCTGGGGCACAGCGCGGTGTCGGAAAAGGTAGGCACTAGCCTGCCTTAGCTGGGCAGCACTGCCAACGGGGCTTTTAGCGTCCAGGTCGGCGGTGCTGACCAGAGCAAGGCGACCCGGTGCTTTACATGCCGCGACTGATACCAGTCAGCTCTGTGTTCTTGGGGAACCAGGGTGCTGTATCCAGCCTGTCTGACTCATGAAAGATACCCCCACACACACCAGCCTCTGCTTAAACCAAAACCCATCAGAGAAAAGACTTGCAGAGAGCAATGAAGGGCGGATGGGAGACACACCTAGACCCCTCCTGACAAGGGTGATAAGATTAAGATATCTCCATTAGCATACAGAATGAAGAACACAGACAACCCCCCTAGCCTCATCTCCATGAAAGATGGGGCAGGGAGACATCTCAATTTGCATACAGAATAGAGAACAGAGAACCGCACTGAACTCTGGGATCAGAAAAAGCAGGGAAGCACTGCATCATGGGAATCTCTGCTCCAGATGTTAATGAACCTATGCCTGCCCACACCCAGCTCAGCAGTTATCAGACCAATTCTAGTAATGAATCCTTGATTGATATCCAAAATACTGAAGCAGCCTAGTTGCATTGTGAGCTCCCTGGAAGAAAACACCACCCATAGCCAAGAGTGATCAGCTCCTATTGTCCTGCCCCAGGGGTCGGCAACGTTCGGCATGCGGCTCGCCAGGGTAAGCACCCTAGCGGGCCGGGCCAGTTTATTTACCTGCTGACATGGCAGGTTCGGCCGATCGCGGCCCCCACTCGCCGCGGTTCTCCGTCCCGGGCCAATGGGGGCGGCGGGAATCGGCGCGGGCCGAGGGATGTGCTGGCCGCGGCTCTGAACGCTCACAGAAGCAGAAAAATGTACACAGTGAGTGAAAAGGAGTGCCTAGCAAGCCTATGGGCATGTGAGAACTTTTACAGATATCTGTGTGGACTGGATTCTTTTGCACTGATAACAGACCATAAACCTCTTGTAACCCTCTTCAATGGAAAAGACCTGGATCAAGCCACGCTGAGATGCAAATGTCTTTTGATCAGGTTAATGCAATTTAACCCAGTTACTAATTATGTTCCTGGGAAAAATCTGGTAGCAGCAGATTCTCTACCATGGAGTCCAGTATCTCACTCAGCTACCTGTGAGCTCAAAGATGATGTAAAGGTGTATGTGGATGCTACAGATGCATACAGACCAGTGGCAGAAAAGAAACTACACCAGCTACAAAAAGCAACCTCAACAGACACACAACTTCAAGGAGTTCTAAGTTACATTACAGCCCATTGGTTACCTGGTTGTTGCAGAGTATTTTTCCAGGTTACTGAGAAACTGAAGTGCACTGTCTCTCACTTTAGTATTCCAGAACAACTAGTGATGGACGATGGACAATGGAATACAATTCACTGCTGTAGAATTTAAATAATTCCAAATGAAATATGATTTTGATTATATTACTAACAGCCCACATTACCCACAAGTGAATGGAGAGGCTAAGAGAGCTGTATAGACAGCCAAGAAAATCCTACAACATGAAGATACATTGCTTGCTCTTCTGAGTTACCGATCAGCACCAATAGTAGCTACTGGATATAGCCCAGCACAACTCCTGATGGGAATACCACTCAAAACTACTGTTCCACCTTTGGAAAAAAACCTATCTCCAAAGTGACCAGACAAGAAGCGAGTAGACAAATCAGATAAAAAAAGCTAAAAGAACACTTTTACAACAGATGCCACTCAATTAGAGTCTGGGTCTAGAACCTGCTGACTGCGTTCGTGTCAAATGGATGGAGAAAAAGGATAGACTACCCCAGCTGTTGTAAAGAAAAAGAATTCAGCGCCCAGATCATATGTGCTTGAGACCAACAGTGGAAAGTTCAACAGAAACCGTTGACATCTACAGTTTGTTCCTCCGGAAAGAACAATAACAGCACAAACTCTACAGATGGTGGATGCAGAACAAGACTCCTCCTCAAGGATTCCAAACAGTGGCGTAGCCAGGTGGAGGGAACAGGGGGAGCGATCAAAAGGCACTGAAGGACCCGCCGCCGAAGACCCGCAGAGTGAGAGAAGGTCCCGCCGCCGAAGTGCTGCCGAAGACCTGGAGCGCCGCCGGGTGAGTAAAAGCACCGCAGTGGGTGGGGCCTTTTTTTTTTTTTTTTTTTTGATCGCTCCCCCTGTTCCCTCCGGGGGAGTAAAAATTAAAAAGGCCCCAAGAAATTGACAAGGCGCCACTTGTGCTCAGTGGGGGAGCGGCCGCTGCCCCGCTCTCCCCCCCCGCAGCTACGCTACTGATTCCAAGCCAACCACAGCCAGTCGTTGCAACCAGTAGGCAGCCAGATGACCAAGTTGTTACACATTTTGGTCATGTAATTAGAAAACCAGTACAATTCAGAGACACTTAGGAGACTTAACAGTACTGAACTTTAAAGTGTAGGTTTTGTAAATAGTAGGAATGTAAAACTTAAAAGGGGAGATGTCATGGGGTGCTAAACCGTACTGTACTGTTCAGCCATTAGGTGGTGTCATGTGTAATATACTTAAGCTCACAACAGCCATTCCTGCCATTACAGGATCTTATGGTGTACACATCTCTGGTGTATCTCTCTGGGAAGAAAGCTCTGTAGCCAATCCATATCTGGTACAGAAGCCTGACCTGCTAGTAGCAGGCCTACAACCTACCATGTATAAGGTGTACATGACATTTTCTGACCTGCTCTATTGGCAGATCCTATCCCTGAGGAGTTTAGAGTGTAAATACTCAAAAAAGCTAGGAATGGCAGAGAAACATTGAGCAAAAGGGCTTGGAATTAAGGGGGTTAAAGCAAAGGCAGAATTTTACACCCCAATGGCAGCTGCTATTTACCCAATAACAAGTAGGCAAGTAGAAAGTAGGTTGTGCCCTTAACAAAACAACCCCATTGGCCAATTCTGTCTTCAAGCTTAAGCTTTGAAACCCAGGATGTAGTCTACTCCTAGGTCACATCCTTGTCTTCCTTTTGGATGAATAATTTCCATACTGTTATCTATTTAATGCGCAACTGAGACGCTCCACAGGAGAGTTCAACAAATGGTCATTGGCAATAATAAAATGTAGAACATTTAGCAGATGAGATTGTTCTCTACAATGATCAGAGCAGGGAACTAGGAATCAGAACCCCTGTTTACGACTCTGCTACTGACACTTAAGTAAATCACTCACTTTCTCGGTGCCTGAGTCTCTCTGTCTGTGAAATGGGGAAACATTATTTATATGTCAGAAGGGTAGCCATGTTAGTCTGAATCTGTAAAAAGCAACAGAGGGTCCTGTGGCACCTTTAAGACTAACAGAAGTATTGGAGCATAAGCTTTCATGGGTGAATGCCCACTTCATCAGACGCCGTCTGATTCGTGGGTGAATGCCCACTTCACCCACGAAAGCTTATGCTCCAATACTTGTTAGTCTTAAAGGTGCCACAGGACCCTTGATTATTATTTATATGGGGTGTTGTGAAGCTTAACCAGTGTTTCTAAATGTTCTCTGAGGGCCTCGGGAAGCAAAATGCTACAAAAGCGCAAGTCATGATTAAAATCCCCAACTATTTCATCATGCAGTGAAAGTGTTGTTGTGTGTGAAGACCAGGGCATATTCTCCTCTTGGTGTCTGTGGAGATGAGGATGTGTAAAAATGCCCGGGGCTGTGCTAAAACGCCAGGCACTTCAACACCCCTCTAAACATCCTTGAAGTCCCATGACATCCACTAAAGCAGAGATACCTGGAAGCAACATTTGAAGGGATTTTAGCAGGGAGGACCATGATGGGCTTTTAGCTTTTTTTTAAAAAAAAGCTATGTTTAAAATAAATGTCCAAGAAAATCAGAAGATAAATCAGAGAATTTTAAATTTATATTAAAAATGATCCTGGAGAGCCTCCAGGTTAAGGCTGTTGTCGCTCCAGCTCAGAGCTTGGCAAGAGTCTTGGGCAATGGTTCACATCCCATGTGTTCTATTAACTAGGCAGAAAGGGCTGAATGACAACCTTGGGGCTAAATCCTGCAGGTTTTACTCAAGCCAAGCTCTCATTGACTCCACTGGGAATCCTGCATGACAAAGGACTTCAAGATTTACCCTTGAAGCATGGATTTCCTATCTACCTACAGTTTAATTCAGAATGTCGTCACCATTATTGACGGTGGACCATTTCTACATACCATTATTTATCATTTTTATATTATATTATTTATGTATTATTATGGTAGTACTTAGAGGCTCCATACAAGCACATAGTATGAGACAGTCCCTGCTCCAGAATGTTTACAGTCTAAATGGATAGAACAGACCAGCGGTTCTCAACCTGCGGCCCGTGGGCCACTTGTGGCCCAATCAGCACAGAGCCGCAGCCCATGTGACATTCTCCAGGCCATACAGGTAGTATTGTATGCAGCCCACAATGGTAAATAGGTTGAGAACCACTGGAACAGACAAAGGGAGGGAGGGGAAGCAGGTGAAGTGATTTGCCTAAGGTTACATGTAGTGGTAGAGCCAAGAATAGAACTGAAGCTGCCTGACTTACAGACCAGTGCCCCATCCATAAGAACACCCTGTCTTCCACAGGACCAAAAAACAAGGTGAATCTCTTTTTCTATGTTTAATTAGACATAGGGAATAGCAAACTGTTCAACTTCTCAAACCTACATTTTTCGAGATTTTGCTTCCAGCCTGCAGAAAAGCTCCCACTCGGTGCTTTGTTTTCATATTTTCAGGTGCCAAACTGGCCAGTTTTTATCTTGTAAAATAGCCTTGGTTCTTTGAAGTGATAGTCTGTGATCAAAATCTTGTACAAACAGCCATGTCGTGTTTTTGCAATTACATTCTGCTTGCTTGCTTGCTTAACAACCCATGCAATTTCTAGTTTCCCATAACAAATGTAAGGATAATTATCACGTAATCTGCTGGGTACAAATTTAATTAATCCATGAAAAATAGTAATAATTATCAACTAAATACCAAGTACTGTATGTTGGTCTTAGGTACCCATGTGATATGAGAAACAGACATGCAATTACGATAGCCACTGTCAAAGAAATATAGCTATCAGAGCCTTTATATCTTGGATGTTGGTTATTTTGGGACCTCAACTCATAATGGACTTCCAACGTGCAGGACAATTTCAAGTTTATGGGAATGAGTGGCCTATTACTATCTCAGAGTAAAATTAGCCTTTGTGGGACTAAGATGTGCGTATTGCTGGTCCTGTGCACAGGGATGGATTGCACCCTAAAATGCATTGATAAGTGCTCTTCTTTTAGGTGCTTTTTAGCTCTTAGGCAGGGTACAGATCAATGTGCTCTCCACTGACTTGCTGCTAGAAAAGCCCCAGCTTCGAAGTCTCTGGTCTGTCACCAGTCATCACAGTGGGAGAGAGGGAGACCACAAATATTCATCGATTCTCTAGCTGGTGCTACCAAATGGCATGGGCTAACTGTCGGAAAAGGAAAGATCATCTGGCCCTCAACAGCTCCTGACTGAGTGAGAGGGAGAGAGTTAATAGTGGAAAGGGGATGGGCAAAGAGAAAATGGGGAGAATTTTTGAGGGGGAAAGGACAAAATTGCAAAGAAGGGGAACCCCACTAAATAGTCACAGTGGAAGCCTCTTAATATCCTAATGTCAGCCACCCTGAAGCTGATAGACAATGCAAGTCTGCTTATCTCCATATACTTCCAGTAATACAATGCAGTGCTATAAGTAACACTTTTCTGATTTGCATCCATTCTTCCCTCTGTTGGAGTACAACAGTTTGATAGGGAAATATAAGGACACTTAAAACATACACTGAGGTCTGGTGCTTTATATTAGGTATAAAGGCAAAAAGTTAAAGGATGTCAGGTCATGTGACTATGTTACTGGGGAAAGGATAGGATGTGAAAGCCCAGTGCTCCATGCCCGACCACACACGCAAAGCAATTCCTTGATCATTGCATCCACTGATCGTAGATGAATAGCTGCTGCTCATATTGAGAGGCACACAAGAAGCAGCCAGAACAGTCTATTGAATAGTTAATAATGGGAGCTGCAACAATTTTCCAAGCTCCTTTGACTGCTGCTATGTCACATTATTCTAAATTGCTTCTCATCAAAGTTTGCAGATCAGAATACAGCCATTAAGTCTGGCAGCAAAGCAGCTAATCTGAATTTGTCACACTCATGAGCGATGCTCAGCTACAGTATTTTAAATAAACCTGGGTTACACTGGCACCGTTTACGTTTGCTAGTTGAGGACAAGCAGCACAGGGTGCGCAATGTGTTTTGTACTGACATTAAAAGCTCCGAGAGCTGGGAAAACCCTTTGGGGGGTCGACTTGCCAACCTCCCGAGTTTAGCATGGCTCAAATAAAGTAAGGAGAGAAACTTCCAGGACATTTTCTGCCTTTTTAATCCATTGTTCATTTTGTTTTTTACATTGAAATTATTCTCAAAAGATTTATGCTCTCTCTAAAGCCGTCTATGCCTTACAAAAAGCAGTAGGTTAACCAAAGCACCACTCCTGTAATAAGAGGGCTTCTCCTTATGAGCTAAATCCTGTCATGTGAGGAGTCTCATTGACATTGCATTACAGAACTCAGTAGTGCTACCAAATAAGATTTGCTCTGATGTATTTCGGATATTGTGGCCTACGTCTAGGACTATGCTCTGGCTGCTTTGTGGCTCCATGCCAGAAAGCCAGCTTAAATGGCTACAAGGGAAGTACACTTGCATAAAGGGAAATCTCTGGGTAATCTAGGGCCAGTGAATCAGCAGTTCATCTTTTTGCTGTCAGTGTAGCAGCTATAACCACAAGAAAGTGGGCGTGGCCAGAGCATCACTGCACTCCAGCTATTCCCAACTGCAAAAACAACCCCTGAGGATAGTGCCAAAAGCTGCTCTAATTCATGCCAGAGACTATCAGCCCTCAGATGGTTTTAGAATCCTAGGGCTGCTAAACTGCAATACAGCCACCATTGCCCTCCTCCTGAGATGTAGCAAGCACAGCTTGGATGCAGCGGAGTGTCTGGGCTTGTACCTTTAAATACGCATTGCTCTTTGATACAAGATTAAGAGGTATGGCTCTTTGTGAATACAACAGAAATAACCAGATTTCTGCCCGAAATCTAAACTTAGTTTCTTACTTTCTTTGAGACATCAGGATGTTTTTATTTAGCTCCTCAAGCTCTTGCATGGCTAGATCCAGCTGTATTGAGGATAATGTCCTTTGGGTTTTCAGTTCTTGCAAATCTGTTTCCTTCTGGGCCATGAGAAGTTTTAAATTCTTTAAGTCCTCGTCTTTCTTCAGGAGTACGGTATCCAGCTCCTCCTGTCTGAGCACACACAAAATATCAGTCAGAGCCAAAAATTAAAGATTTACTCTGCTCCCGTTTTTAGAAAAATGAAAATTAAACTGTGATAAATTGAACCAACGAACCAAACAAACAAAAAATAGGGTTAGATTCCAGCTGCTCCTACTCAGGTGCACAATAGGGGGCAGACAACACATGGAGCTTTCTCCCCCAGCCCCCACTCCCAAAGAATATCTCCAGCCACTGCCGCTACTGAAATGGCTCTACTTTCCAAAATGCAGACTTTTCAATACTATATTATTTATAGGCAGGGTTGGTAGCACTACCTATTATTAAGGTTGCCCAACACTTCCCATTATAAGAACCTGTTTTCACTTGCTTATAACTTTGCCAAACAAACTGTTTGGGCTCAAATTTTCCATGCTGGGTATTCTGCCTTAGGTTGAAATTTTTTTTTTTTTTTTTGAAAAATTTCAGCCAAAATAGTTCAGCTATTTCTGAGAACAAGGCGAGGGGAAAATACGCTTGGGAGCACAGACTTTAGCAGGATTGGCCTTTTTCTCAAAAATGTGCGTTTTGCCTTCCTCATAAAATCTACCCAAATTATAAACTTTTGAAATTTGCAGTTCACACATGCTCAGTAGAGACTTGTTAAAACTTTGCAGCTTCAGTCCCTGAATATTCTGCCCATACTAAGCAGGCTAATACCCAGGACAAAACTCCCCTTCATTGCACAACCCTGATTCATCCCCAGAGCAGGTACATCCTGTGCACAGAAAAAGGACAAAATGTGGAAAAAAATACAGTAACTCCTCACTTAACGTTGTAGTTATGTTCCTGAAAAATGCAACTTAAACGAAACGATGTTAAGTGAATCCAATTTCCCCATAAGAATGAATGTAAATGGGGGGCGGGATGGGTTCCAGGGAAATTTTTTTCACCAGACAAAAAACTATATTATATATTGTGACAAGATGGCCGATGTAGTATGGTGGGTCCTGCACTTTTCTTGGTGTGGGGCTAAGATGCCACCCCTTGCCCCTGCTCTTGGGGCACCGAGGGCCCCACTAGTGGCCCGGGAAGGTGGTAAAGGAGGGAAGTGGGGGAGGGTCTGGGTTTGCTCCTTACTCTGAGCCCCAGCCCCTCTCAACCCCTACGGGTTCTTACCCTCTTCCCCCTTAGGTGGGGTACCTTCGGTCCTTAAACGCTGGGGGAGGGAGTCTCCCTCCCCTGCTGAGGCAGGGTCCCCCTTACTCCAGTTTTCTGATCTTCCAAGTCTCACGGCACGCCTCCAAGCTCCAGTCCTCTCTCCTTCCTCCTTCTCCCGTGACTGCCTGAAGCAGGGGGTTTTATTAGGTTGCTAACCGGGCCTTAATTGACTACAGGTGCTCCAATTAACCTGTAGCAACCCTCCCTAGTCTAAAGGGAACCACGCCTTAATTAGCCTAGGGCTTATATACTTCCCCTCGACCCCTCTCCTACTGCTCCCTGGTCCTCCTGTATCACAATATATATATGTTTTAACAACAGTATAAGTTTTAAACAAACAATTTAATATTGTACACAGCAATGATGATTGTGAAGCTTGGTTGAGATGGTGAAGTTAGAGGGTGGAAGAGGGTGGGATATTTCCCAGGGAATGCCTTACTGCTAAATGATGAACTAGCACTCGGCTGAGCCCTCAAGGGTTAACATGTTGTTAATGTAGCCTCACACCTACAAGGCAGCATGAATGGAGGGAGGGGAGACAGCATGGCAGACAGAGACACATGTGTATGTGTGTGTGTGTGTGTGTAAGAGGGAGAGAGAGAGAGATGCACATTGCCCCTTTAAGTAGGCTGACCCCCCCCCCCAAGTACATTGCCTTTAAAAAAATCAGGAAGTTGAGACAGCAGCTGCGGCTAGCAAGCTCTCTCTGGCCTGAGCCCTGTCCTGTCACCACCTTGCTCTATATGGAGAAGAGGTAAGCGGGGGGCAGGAGTAGGGGGGAGGGGGACTCCCTGACATTAGTCCCCCTCTTCCCCCCTCCCCTGCACAGCAAGCAGGAGGATCCCGGGAGCAGCTCCAAGACAGAGGGCAGGAGCAGCACATGGCAGTGGGGGGAGGGACAGCTGAACTGCCAGCAATTGGTAGCCTGCTGGGCAGCTGCTGCATAAGGAACTTAGGAGAGTAGGGAGCTGATGGGGGGCTTCCGGTCCACCTTGGTTCCAAGTCCCCACCAGCTAGCTGCAACGGGCTGCTCTTCCTGCAAGCTGTAGACAAAGCAGGCAGCTGCCAAACAACCTTATAAGAGAGCACTGCACAACTTTAAATGAGCATGTTCCCTAATTGGTCAGCAACGTAACAACGTTAACCAGGACGACTTTAAGTGAGCAGTTACTGTAGTATGTGATCATGTAATTAAAGATTGTATCATAATGCATATGCACAATGGGGCTGATTAAGGTTGACCAGGCAACCTTAATTCTGGTATTTCTTAACTTTTGGATTCTTGATTTTGAAACCTTATTATTAATATTGTTTTAACACAGCTTGTGTGCAATATTTTAAAATAAGTTGAAAAACTGCTGTTATTGTTGCTTAAATTGTTAACTCAGGGTTCAGGGTTTTTTGTCCTTTTTGATACAGTACATACAATCCATTAAGTTATTTTGGTATATCCACATGCATGCAATCAGTCCTTACTGTTTTCTTGACACTAGTTTGGTCTCCTAAGCTGTAGTCTCAGTGAGTGTTATTAACCAATACCATACAGTAGAATCTTGTTATTTTTCACTCCGTTAATCTACAAGGCCAATAATTCTCATACAAGAAGTGTGGTCTCATCCCACTTCTCTGCAAAGATTTAACTGCATACACAATAGAAGCATGGAGGGCAAAGTCACCTTTGTGCAGTGGGCCAGCACGAGGCCTGTCTGTCACTTAAGTCCCCAGTAAACCCCTATTTTTGCATAAATTAGATGCTATGGTGATGGTGTTACAGACCTGATTGAGTTCCCCTAGTGGACAGTCACCAGTCTGTTGTAATTAGTCCCAACCTTTGGATCCCACGTTTCTAAGCCAGTGGGTCTGGCCAGCATCTAGTCACAGTTTCTAGCTCTAAGGTGCACTCCTGAATGCAAACTCCCTGTCTGCCACCCTTTCCTGAGATGTGGGACTCCAGGGTCCAACTGCCCTAGGCCCTAAAGCCAGCACTCTGACCTCCCAGTTGCTTATGCATGCTTCCACCAGAGTTCCATCTCCGTGAGCAATCTGGTTTATCATTTAACTCCTTGGGGACCATGTGGCAGGCAAGGCAAGGAACACAGGCTTTGCACAAGGGCTTCTAAAACCATAGTAACATTGACTCTTAAAGCATACAAGAGTTACAAATCTTTGGGCAAAACAACAAATGCCTTTACACACTCCACACTGTGTCTATGCTCAGCCCTTCTTCTGAGCCACTGGGCCCACTCTGTGTTCGGGTGGGTAGGTCCTTCCTGCCTCTCCTTCTATTGCTGGCAATGGTCGGACTCTGAAGGAGAGGGAGACTGGAACTGATCCTGCCTTTAAATAAGGTTTCTGTCCCCTTTGCCAAGTGACCAACTGGTCAGCTTCAGACCCTAGTCAGGTGTCTTGCCAGGAAGTTCCAGCCACCCCCCCCCCAGTCCAAACTGGGTTTCTTTCAGTCTGACCAGTCTCTGTAGCAAACCATTGTCCTAGGATGGATCCTTGTGATTAGAAAGAAAATCATTCTTGATCACTCTTGTGTTAGTCTATTCAAAGAGGTGTCAAGCATTACAATAAGCTACTTTGGGCTGTCCTTGACATCTCTAGACACTGTTGCCAACTCTTGTGATTTTAGCACATCTTGCATGTTTTTCTTAAAGCCCCAGCTCCTGGAATAAAGACATTTCATAAGAATCTCGGTTTTATTCGGGAAAAACAGAAAACAAAACAAGACCAAAAAAATTGTAAATTTCTAGTCCTCACAATTGCTGAGAAAAGTTGCTTGAAAATGCGAACCTAGTGCACCCTAAAGGCTCAGAAACCACTATGTGAAGACCTCAACATTTATTATTTGTTTTTAAATCTCGCTGTTTCTGGAGGTTTGAATCATGATTTTTGAATGCCTGCGGTTGGCAAAACTAGATATCACAAGTTTCTTAGGGCAGGGAATTTCTTTTATTGAGCTGTAAAATGCCACACCTGCCTTATTTCTCTCTTTAAATAAGAAAAACAACTTTCATTCAGAACTCTGTATTCGGTGCAGAAGCAAACAAACCTGCTCTGGGATCTGATTTCCACTTGAGAATTCTTGTGTCCGCTGATTTCAGTTCTCATCTTGCCACAACTGCTCACTTCTAGTTGTTCCTGAGGTGCAGGCATCTCCTTCTTTTCATATATGCCAGAAATGGCAGCCATCTCATCTTTTAAATGGTGAGCCTCAGATGACAGATCAATCTACATGGTAAAAGATGGAAGAAATGGCCACTTGTAACTTCCAGGGTATAATCATTGTTTTGCCAGCTCAAAAACTGGTTATGCTGTAATCAACCTCCTCCCCCAGGTTTCCTATTTCAGACCTGACCCTGCAATAACAATGTTCCCACTGACTTCAGTAGTGTACAGAGATGAAAGTAAGCCGATACGGTCCGGTGCGGCAAGAGCCAGTATGCTGTGCCGGACTGGACCGGCTTCCGCGGCGGTGATTTAAAGGGCCCAGGACTCCAGCCGCTGCGGGGGAGCCCCGGGCCCTTTAAAGCGCTGCCGGAGCTCCAGCAGCCGGGCTTGGGTGGGGATTTAAAGGGCCTGGTGCTCCGGCCACTGCGGGGATCCCCGGGCCCTTTAAAGCGCCCCTGAGCCCCGGGGCTCCCAGCTGCCTCTCTGCAGCTGGTAGCTCCGGGGTGATTTAAAGGCCCTGGGGCTCCCAGCCACAGCCGGAGCCCCAGGGCCTTTAAATCTTGAAAGCCCCCGCCTCTTCCGGTTGAGGCCACGCTTCTTCCGGTTGAGGCCACGCCCCTGCTCAGGACTCCAGTGTACCGGTAAGTCCTTTAAGTTACTTTCACCCCTGGTAGTGTAGGATAAGGCTTGCCTTCCTTCTGCCCCACGTTAAAATCCTATAATTTTGTTTTGCCTTTGTCATTTAGGCCCACATTTGTAAAAGCATGTACACAACTTTACAAAACTGGGACATATTCACTTGCATATTGAATTTGTAAAATGAAGCACTCATCTCTCAGACTCAAGATGATGGATTCTGGACTGCTCTGATACACCCACACAACCCCATTCACTGAGAATGCAGTAGGATCCAGGAAGCAACCCTGCTATTGCTCTTCTATGGCTTGTGGGAAGGGTTATTTCTCTGTGACTCTGTGACTTCCATGATGGTGATACTCGTTAAAAACATAATGCGTTAATTAAATCTGTGACTGAACTCCTTGGGGGAGAATTGTATGTCCCTGTAGCAGAGTGGTCACCCGCTCCGGCCCTGAAGGGGTTAAAACAGCCCTGGGAGAGGGCTGCTTTGGGGAGCCAATAGGATAGGCTGATTGGGGAAGCAGCCACAGCTGGAGCCACGCCCCAATCAGGCCACAGCTGGCCCTATAAAAGGCTGTGGGCCAGGAGCACAGAGAGTCTCTCTCTAGCTGTGGAGAAAGATGGGCCTGGCTGCTTGGGAGCACAGCAGAGTACCTAGAGTAGAGCAGCTGGAGAAAGGCCAGAGGAGCTGGGGAGCTCCGGCCTGGAAAACCCCCAGGCTGCAGGCCTTGCTAAAGGCCGGAAAGGGTACTGGGGTTGCAGAGGTGCAGCCCAGGGTAGGCAAAGGCAGCAGGTCCAAAACCTCTTGCCGATGATGAGTGGTTGATAGACGGCCGTCTGCCCCAGGGAGCGGGGGCTAGATGGTGACTGGCAGTAGCCACTGAGGCAAGGTTGGGGTAGAGGGTTGGGAGTTCCCCTGGGTGGGGAGACCCAGAGAGTGGGGTTTCTGCCAGCGGGCAGCACCCAAGGTAAAGGGGCACCAGAGTCTGGGAGGGAGATGGGGGCCAGCGGCAAGCGGGACATCGGCCAGCAGAGGGCGCTCCGGAGCTGGAGAGCTAATTCCCAAGACAACCAGCAGGAGGTGCTGCGTCGGTGTGTCGTCATGTCGCTACAGTCCCCCAGGGCCGGCTTTAGGCCAATTCGCTGATTCCCCGGAATCGGGCCCCGCGCCTAAGAGGGCCCCGCGCCTTAGGCGCCTTTTTAATTTTTTTTACTCACCCCGGCGGGCGGCAGCGGTCCGCTCCGGGGTCTTCGGCAGCCCCGCTCCCCTGGCCAGAGTGCCAGCCGGAGCGTGGCAAGCCCCGCGGCCCCACTCTCCCAGCTGGAGCTCCAGCTAGACCACAACAGCCCCGCGGCTTCGCAACCCTGGCCCAGAGCGCCGCGGCCCCGTGACCCCGCTGGAGCGCGACAGCCCTGCGGCCCCGCGGTCCTGCTCTCCCAGCTGGAGCTCCGGCCGGAGCGCGGCAGCCCCGTGGTCCCGCGACCCCGGCCGGAGCGCTGCAAGCCCCGCGGCCCCACTCTCCCAGCTGGAGCTCCAGCTAGACCACGACAGCCCCGCGGCTTCGCAACCCTGGCCCAGAGCGCGGCAGCCCCGTGGTCCCGCGACCCCAGCTGGAGCACGGCTGCCCCACGGCCCCACGACCCCAGCCGGAGCGCGGCAAGCCCCGCTACCCCCCTCCGCTGGCCAGCAATCCGAAGTGCCACCGAAGACTGGGAGCGCCGCCCGGTGAGTACAAGCCCCAGGAATCGGGCCCCGCACTTGCTAAAGCCAGCCCTGCAGTCCCCTGCTCTGTTTTACCCACATTCTGCCATATATTTCATGTTATAGCAGTCTCAGATAATGACCCAGCATATGCTGTTCATTTTTAGAACACTGTCACTGCAGATTTCACAAAACGCAAAGAAGGTACCAATGTGAGATTTCTAAAGATAGCTACAGCACTCGACCCAGGATTTAAGAATCTGAAATGCCTTCCAAAATCTGAGACGGATGAGGTGTGGAGCATGCTTTCAGAAGTCTTAAAAGAGCAACACTCCAATGCAGAAACTACAGAACCCGAACTACCAAAAAGGAAAATCAACCTTCTACTGATGGCATCTGACTCAGACAATGAAAATGAACATGCGTCGGTCCGCACTGCTTTGGATGGTTTTCGAGGAGAACCCATCATCAACATGGATGCATGTCCCCGGAATGGTGGTTGAAGCATGCGCATCTGACACCTAAATATCTTGCAACGCCGGCTACAACAGCGCCATGAGAACACCTGTTCTCACTTTTAGGTAACATTGTAAACACAAAGCGGGCAGCATTATCTCCTGCAAATGTAAACAAACCTGTTTGTCTGAGCGATTGGCTGAACAAGAAGTAGGACTGAGTGGACTTGCAGGCTCTACAATTTTACATTGTTTTATTTTTGAATGCAGTATTTTTGTACATAATTCTACGTTTGTAAGTTCAACTTTCATGATAAAGAGATTGCTCTACAGTACTTGTATTAGGTGAATTGTAAAATACTATTTATTTTGTCTCTTTATAGTGAAAAACACTTGAAATCAAAAATAAATATAAAGTGAGCACTGTACACTTTGTATTCTGTGTTGTAATTGAAATCAATATATTTGAAAATGTAGAAAACATCCAAAATATTTAAATAAATGGTATTCTATTATTGTTTAACAGTGCAATTAATCACGTGATTAATTACGATAATTTTTTTTAATCGCTAGACAGCCCTACTAACAACCTGACCCTGGGACTGCTAGGAAACTTAGAACTTTGTGATGAACCTGAATGTTGATGTAGAGTGTAGAATCGCCCAAGGCAGAGAGAAAGCTGCCAAAGTACAGTAAGTAGCTTTTAATATAATTGCAACTCTTCCCTTCTCAAATGCTCAATCTGATTGACCAATTACAGTGGTTAATTCTCTGAGAAACAACCTATCATTAACTGTACTTTGTTCTAGTCTCACTGGTCCTTTCACGGTAGCCTCTGGTGAAAGAACTGTTATGTGAGATCTCATTCTCTACAATAAAATATTTTTGATTGTTTGCAATAAATAGGAATGGGTTCATAAGGAGAATAATAAATTCATTGCCAGTCCTTTACCAAACACTTATTGACTGTCAAGCTACATTAAGCACCCATACTTTATACTGGGCCCTGAGCTTATTCTTAGCTAGCATATATTAGTATGTTAAGAAACCACTACTCAGTACATTAATGTTAAGTGAGAAATGGTTTCAGTAACCATGAATCAATTGCACAGTGCGTTATTTTGCTATAAATATGACATTTTATCATTATAAATATCTTCCATAGGAGGTGATTGTGATCACATTGACTACATAATCAATCAGCACTGACAAAGGAGAACAAAGCCCTGTATTTTACATAACTACACTCCATGCTCCCTTGCTACTCTTGTATGTTATTCTTCCCCTTACATTCTAGAAAGACTACTGGAGTGAAATCCTGGTCCCATTGAAGTCAATGAGAGTTTTTTCCGTCAACTTTAATGGGATCAGGATTTCACCACAACAGTGCTTAATGGAATATGTGCAATCTCATCTATTTCTCTGCTTTCCTCTAACCTTCTTGATATATGGGGCTAATCAATGTATCGATACAGTTTTCAGCATCTAAAGTGATTGTCATTAAAGAGTCAACATCCAAATTCAATTTCCTTCCCCAGGCATGCCATCTCTACAAGCTGCAAGGAGTAGGGTGGGAGGTTGGGACAATGGAGAATCCGCTACAGTGGCTCTCTTAGGGTGATCCTCCTGTGTCATGCTAAGTGGACTTCAGAAAATCTTTGCTCTGGTGGAAAAGTGCAAAGCTGTCCACATGCAGCCCAGGCTCTGGCCTGTAAAAAGCTGGTGGCAAAAGTAACTGTAAAGACGATAATGTAGGAAGTGTGCCCATCCTCTCTCAATAACTTTTGTATCCCATTTTCTTAGTTTTACAAGTCCCCAAAAGGAGATTCTACTCTGTTACACTAGTGTAAATCCACAGTCTGTATTTTTTCAAAGGAAGTTGACAAGAACTATGTACAGTATTATAGGTGTGTTCTTGGATTTACAGTTGCTGTACAAAACACTTGTCAGCACAGTGTAAATTGGTACTGTGAAACACGTGGGGCCTGCTCTGTAATAATTTATGAATACAGTATGTGACGGGGTTATTGAAGGGTTCACTGTATGGATATAGTGAGTTAATTCACAGCAGGATTGTCAGGAAATGGAGACAGGAAGTAGGACAATAACCCGGATAACAGCCTCTCAGCAAACACTTAGGATTTAGTGTTGCTACTCACAGCTCTTGCTGAGCTGCCCAAACCAGTTTAACTAGGCTCAGAAAACAGAGGAGAACAATAGGACTCGATTTAAAGTCTCACTCTCAGAGAAGAGGAAAT